TGCAAAAAAATGCAAAATTGAGATAAATTGAGATAATCTGAGGTCGCAAAAAAATATTCTGAATTTGAATTTGTTTCTTACATTACAAGATGACAAATTGATACATATAATGCCTTGAGCGTTTGAGGTAACAACAGAAACATACGAAGCAAACTGAAATCTTCCATTCAATCATGTTGCATTCAATGAAATGCAAACACTAAGAGAGAAGCAACCAACTCAAACACTGCTGCAAAGTTCATAGACTGATTGGTTGATCACACAAGCATCTACAGTGATCACATTGCACATTGACTCTCTGCACAAATGACATCACTCACTCTTTTTCATCACTCCATGGTGCTTCTGAATCTTGGTCCTGTCTTCGCCGCCACGTTCAGCACGCTTTTGGATGTCACCTCAGACAAGAGTGCATGAATGTCACCGTGAACACTACTATTACTACTTACATACTAATACTACTACTACTGCTACTACTACTACTGCCACTACTGCTACTCCTACTCCTACTCCTACTCCTACTCACTCCTACTTCTCACTCACATGTCAGCAGACAGTGAGTGCGCCCCTGGAGTCAAGCATGAAGCCCACTCTGACAAGAGTCTCTTTTTTTTTCTGACTGCGGTTTTGGCGTCGCAGTGATTTGGGGTCCACATTGGGAAGAATGCGCCACAGCAGCTGGCTCCACCTGCATGGGGGGTCAGAACTGTCAGTGAAAGAGAAATGTCAGCATGGCTAAACCTTTTGATTCATGCATGGCTACACTCCTGCAAATCAAACTCAACTGTTTGTCAACACGATTTCATCTGCCAAAACAATAACCCCACCTGGTTGTCCTGCTGGCCGATCAGTAAAACCCAGCTTCACGACCTTAGTCACAGCCAGTGTGCTAGACCACTGGAACAGCAACAAGCAGCACCTCTGACAGGTAACACATAGTCACTTAACAAACAAAGAATGAGAGCACAGCCACTTGCAAACAAATGGCTGATCGCGCTGGACAGCCAGGCATCCATGCTGGACCCAGTGGCCTTTTTCAGCAAGCGGAGCCTCACAGTGTCAAGTGAAAGTGTGACATGATTGCCAGGAGCTACAAAGGTGGATAGGTCCATTGCACATTTCTTACAAGTCATCAAGGTTTGTTTGTTGATTCACTGCAGCCAAGTGACAGCACTGTTCGCCTGGTTTTCAAAGGCAGCTGCTCAAAATTTGTCACCAGCATTGATGAAACCTTATAGTCAGCCAGGATCTCCATCCTTAGCTCGCAACTAACTACCAGCATTCACAATTCAAACATCACCTCCCATCATTCAAACTTCAATATTTATTATATGAATATAGGCCAATCTTAAAGTACAGCCAAGGAACTCCACTGGATGCAGCTTCTCAATCTGCTTCTCAGCCTCTGGTGCTGCATCAACCACAGATGACGTCTTGGGCGTGTCATCTTTCTCCACTTTCTCATCTGTGGCGGCCTTGTCCTTGCCCTCCTCATTGGCATTGTCCTCCTTCTGCGCCTCCTCCTGATCCCACCACGCCTTATTTGGCTTCTTCTTTTTCTTCTTCCTTTTCGATGATGACTCCCACCATTTCTCCAAGTCATTCTGCTCTGTCTCCTGGTCATCCTTGTGCTTGTTGTGGGTGTCATTGTCAATGTCGACCACCTGCACCTCCTCAGGCTTCTGGTCACCAACCTCCATGGCGCTCTTGTCATTGCCATTGTCATGGCCCTCACTCTTCACAGGGCCCATCGCGCTCTGGGCCTTGTCCTCCTGGGATCCAGGCAGTGGTGGCTTTGGCTTCGCCTGGCCAAAAGCAGTTGAATGATCGATTAGAAACTCTAACATCAATGTGTTTCATCGGCAGTTCAAACACATTTGAAACAAGTCAGATTTGACATTTGTTTTCTGGCATCCTTTCTTCAGTTGGAGCATTGCAAATGCAAACCCCCGCCTTCGTTTCAGGTTTCTTCATAGTAGCCTCGAAGGACCTAAGAAGAACAAGTTCCAAAGCAGTATGATTCATATATGACCACTCAGACTCCCACTTCAGAACAACACAAGCACTTGAAAGACTGACAAGCAAAGTAAAGTATCACCCCATTTGATCTCTGTGTAATTCAGTGTTAACTTTAGTTGAGGAACTTGAAGAGCTTCAGATCTGGCAGGCTGTGCAGCTCACAGAAGGCATTGAATGCCTTCCAGCACATCAATTCCATCTCCTTCAGGCTTCCAATCTCTTTCGGGAGGATTGAAGCCTGCATCTCCAGCCTTGCTCACAAACAATTGAAAACAATTGACTTGCAGATCAGATGAAGTTTATTTCACATTTCAAATGTCAAATGTCACTCTTCCAATTGACTTAGGCAGGCATGCCAACTCATCCTTTATTTCTGTCATTTCTATACCTGCCAAGCCACGCTGCGGTCCAATCCTGCCCGCTGGTCCAGTAGTGCATCGCTATTGCAGTCCTTTGCCAGTCAGGGTGCATGACAGACCATACCACTTCAATCTTGTGCGCCTCAGATGACAGGCAGGCATCAGCAGCAAACTATGGACTTCCTTTCAATTGTTCAATCAATAAAAGATATTTCTTATCCAATCAAGTTTCCCTCAGAATGACATACAAGAGTATCACCAGCGCCGGAGCTCGGTTGCGGCCACATGGGCTTGAAATCCTGAGCCAGTTGGACAGCGACTGACTGACAAGTTGAAATGAATGCCATTGGCAATACTCTTACATTCTGACAATGTGCAGACTCTTTGATCACTGACTGATGTCGCCACATTGCATGAATACAATGGAACAAATGGACAAGTGAGTGACACCAAGGCTCTTCACCAGCCAGTCTGGCCTGGATAGGATGACCCTCACAGCATCCCTCACAGCTGGATGGCTGAAGACCTTCTTGAAGTTCTCCTCCTGTAGCCCCTGGATGTCTCCAAAGGCATTCGGCCTAAGTTAAGAACAATTGAACAATGTCAAATGTCAAATGTCAAACTCTATTCAGCAGTCACACCATGTTTGCAACTTGTGCATACTCTCAGGTCAAGATACGCCACAGGGATCATTCTCTCCAGGCGATGCTGCCAATGTCGTGGCACAACATCTCCATAGCCCTCAAGCACCACAGTCTGGTTCTTCTCAGTGATGGTCACCTCAGTTGGCCAAAAACAACACCTGACACTGAAACAGCCAGTCACCTGGAACCTCACCACCCACCCAATCATCCCACCTTCTCACACGTTCTCAAATGATTCCTGAACTTGACATTCCACATATTTGCCAAGCAACTGTGGGTCCACGAAGAGCTGTTGGCCCTGTCCCAAAGCCCAACAAGGTGACTTTCGCAGGCCAGTTTGGGTACTCATGGCCCAGGAACTTGATTGTCTCAGTTGCAGCTGAAATTTGTTAACATAAGACAGATGGACTGCACACTGAGCTGCGAAGACAATTGAGTGTAGTAGTACAGTTTTTTTTTATCAGTTAGTTAATATAGTACAATAACAATATGATACCAAGACACCAAGCCATCCTCAGAGTCGCCATCTTCAACTTCCAGTGGCTTCACATCGGCCTCATCTTTTGCTGCCTCACTTGCTGGCGCTGTGGCCAGAGCTGCTTCCCCTGGCTGATCCTGCAGCATTTTCTGCCTTTTGGCACCTGAGTCATTCTCATTCACGTTGCCAGTTGGGCAAAGCCACTTACAAAGAGTGCGCTTGAGAAGTAAATTCAAAGGCTAGAAGCTTTCTAGCCTTTGAATTTACACAACGTGAGAACAAGTTGAATAGGACAACAAACAATAGTCTTGATTTGTACTGTATGACCTTTAACACTTAGTCAGGAGCCACACAGTCTGATTGATGATTGAACTTGCAACTGACTAGCAGGAGTCAGCCAAGTTGCCAGTCAAGCCCACGCTCTGTCGCTTTGACGGTGTATGCAACGTAGTCATCAATTGCGTTTCCGTTGCGCTCCTTCCGCTGGTAGTGGCTCCTGAGTGAGGAAACATAGTTGACAACAGTGCAGCACAATGTGTGACCACATGTGTATTTCTCAGAACTAACCACAAATTGAACATTTCATCACAAGTTTTAATTTCAGTGAAACACTCAAAGAGGAGCCTTTGATGTGTCCCAGTGGCAGAAGGTTTGATGCTTGCTGTGGATCAGCTGAATGGAGAAGCCAGATCAACTTAGATGCACATAACCCCACATCACAAGCTGCATTGATTGCTATTGACATTGAACGGTTTCAGTTTACCATCTACTGTGACATTTCACACTCTGCAACTTAAAGAAAATTATGCCAAGAATCCTGCTGGGCTTTCCTGGGCAAACCGTGGTTGAGATGTTACAAATGACCTGAAACTTAGTCTGAGCAGCGTTTTGCCAAAGCAAGCAATTCAACTGAAGCAGCCGAGTGTCCTTGGGAGCTTTTTTTGCAAAGTCAGGCAATTCAGCGCAGGCCACTGACTCGCTCCACTCCGACATCAAATGGCTTCCACCACAGACAAAGGGCTGTCAAACCTGTGTGGAATTACTAATTACAGTGTCAGTATATGCGCTTGAGTGTGTGGATTGTGACTGTACCCCATGACATGTCATGTAGTTCGAGCCTTCTCTACAGAACACACATTCAAAGGTCAAAGTCTCCCAATCAATCAGTTTTACTTACTTTAGTTGACATCAGTCAAACTAATTAGAACTCTAGACTCTGCACCGCTAGTCAGAAACCATTCATTCTTGACACACAGATTCACTCCAACAATGAACCATTTCACCCACTGCCAGTCCCAAACTCAGCCTCGCAAATGAGGGTCTCACTGAAGTCAAGCAGGACCTGGACAGGACAGCCAATGGGGGGTGAAATTTCTAATGTCAGATTTGACATGTCAAATGAGATTT